AGTTGTAATCCATGGGTTTGCAATTTAGTGACAGTTGTCCAAGACTGCGCAATGAGAGTTTACTCCATCATTGTGGCTTAGCAAAATTCACTAGGATATATCAAGGGCAAGTGTCTCCCAGGCAATGTTTCAGCTAAACTGAGCGTTTGGGCAATCACCAAGGAGAGACTGAAATGCCACCCAACTGATTAGCAGAGCAACTACAGCCAGCCACATGTGTCTCTGTTGGTGATGCACATCCACACATGCCCTTGGTATATATGTAATATATTTTAATCCACACCTGGATGGAAAAAAAATAGAAGGAACATTGGTTCCAGGTATAAAATAAGGAACAGTTGCAGCATGTCTTGGCCTTTCTCCTCTCCCATGGTGCAGGAAGCAACTGGAATGCTGAGCTCATGAACATCCTTTGGGCTGAGGACAGACCAAAGGGTAGCGCCATGAAATGGAAAGAGATATTGGAGGGCCAGAGAGATCATGACAAACTTCAACTTTCGGAGAGATTTTTTTTTGAGGCCACACAGGTCCAGGATGGGTTTCAGGCCTCTTTTGGCCTTCGGAATTGTTGCCGGCAAGAGTAAGTCTCAGGTCCGACACTGGATTCTCAAAGTACAAAGGACGCTACACAGGTATCTGTCAAATACAAGTAGTTTATTTCCTGACAGCTAACAGCTGCACCCCTTAACTAGAACTGCAACATAAAGAAGTGGCATATCTTACGTCCCTTCCTGCTAGCTGGGGATCCCGAGTCGGCTATGGACAAAGTAGGAGGTTGTCTCAGTTTCCGAAGCACTGGTACCCAAAGTCCATCGGTGAGGTCCAAATTGCTGTGCTTTGGTGCAGCCTTAAATATAGTTCTCTGCCTTGTTTGTGGCAGTTTATAAATTTCCAGGGGATACTCCTTACTTAGCTGTTAGTTATCAATCTGGTTCTGATCTAGTTCTACTTGCTCTTTGGCCTTGTTTACGTGATCAGTATGTTAGGGTAAACAGAATTGTTTATGCGTTCTTGCCCTTTACCCTTATCTTGTATTTGTTCTTGCTATACTGGCAACAATGCTCATCTTAAATGGCCTATGTTTCCAAAGACTTGCTTCTGGCTCATTAGACGTACGGAAAAGGGAAAGGGGGGAAAGAAGGCAAGCCTCACCACCACTAAACTTGCATGTACAAAGTTCTTCCGCAATTAACCCCTACAGGAATTAGAAAGCATTAAGAGTAGAACCTTCTTCCTTCCATTTCCAGAGGAACCGCTTCCACAGCCTCCAACTGCAGGAACATGATCTCCTGAACCAGGAATTGTTCAGGTGAGAGATCTCTGAACCCGGACATGGAAGCAAGGGCATGGGAAAGAAGGCTATCCACAAACTGAAGGGTGTAGCCTGAGCTACTGTGTCCAGGACCCAGTCAAGCTGCTAGGGCAATAGATGGTTGAGGAAAAGATGGGAAAGATCTGGTGGGGAGACTTTTGGCCTCCGGGTGTTGAAAGGTGATGGCTAAAGCCAGGGTCTCTTCATCTTGTAGATTACTGATGGGTCTGCCAAGGTCTCTACAGCGGTGGAGGACAGAAAGGCTTTCTAGTTCCCTGAGGGGAATGCATGCAAATTAGTGTCCTTCAACCAATGTAGATGGGTATCCATCTGGTCAGAGAACAGCCCCACTGTGCCAGAGGTTCTGACTAGAGGTCTGCATCTCCTTCCTGGGAGAGGCCTGCCATTTGGAGCCAGGAACTGCATCACTCCCATCAAGTCCATTGCATCCGACATCATTTGCAGAGAGCATCTGGCTGCCACAGTATCTTACTCCATTAAGGTGTCAACCTTTGGAGCCTGATCCTGAGGAAGGGATTCTTGGAACTTTCTAAGACTGTTCCAAAGATTAAAATTATATTGGCCCAGAAGGGCTTGTTGGTTTGCCAGCCAGAATTGTATGCTGGCTGTTTAACATTTTTTTCTGCCAAATAAATCACATTTCCCATTCACATTTCTTTATTTTTAGGACCAGAGGCGGTGGTAGGGATCTGCTTGTCTTTTTTGTTGGCCGCATCACAACCTGTGAGCCCAAGGATACTCAAAACCTTTGGCTGGCACGAAGTATTTTTTCTCAATCCATTTTAAGGTGGGTGGGAGGGAGGACGGCACCTACCGCAGTGCCTTGGCAATCTTGAGGACCTCATCATGAGCAGACAGAGCAACCTGGATGGGCATGGAGGCCAAGAGGACTTTGAAAAGTGTGTTCTTCTGCTCCGCTCTCAACCTCTGAGTTCTCAGCCACCTGCCAGAGAAGGGCTTGATGCTCCCTAAAGGGCTGGCCTTGGAAGGTCCCACAACCACCTCATCAGAGTTAGATGAGGAGGACTTGGCCACTGGTGGACACACTGAGAGCTCAGCCACCATTATTCTTCTAAATTGATTGCATCATAAACTTTCAATATCCTTTCCTCCTCCAAACTCAGTTTAAACCTATTATAGCTCTCAAACTACCCAAATTAGCTTTAATGGTTTCTTGTCAGCAGCTTCAGATGATGTTCATAACACCCTTTATACACTCATAAATGGAAAACAAATACTTTGTCCATATGTAGCTGTCATGGCTTTCATTCCAAAAAGAAAAGGAAGAGGAAAAATTATCCATTTTCAACACTGCACGCTCTTTAGCTGCCATTCAATGTTTTCTGGATTCTGAAGACAGAATAATGGGCTACTGTACTGTGATCATCTATTCTGACCTACTGTATAACACAACCTTAAGAACTTCTCCAAACTATTTTCTAGAATATATCTTCTAAAAACACAACCAATCCTGATTTTAAAATGGTCAGTGATGGAATATACATCAAAGCTTGGTAAAATGTTCCAATAGTGAAATATCTTCATTGCTAAAATGTTCTTACTGCCATCCAAATTTGTCCAGCTTCAACTTTGAGCTATTGGGTTGTGTTATACTAATCTCTGCTAGATTGAATAGCCCATTATCAAATATTTGTTCTCTATGTAAATACTTAAAAACCTCTTAACCTTCTCTTTGGTCAACTGAACAGACTGAACTCTGAGTTTATTGCTACAAAGCATGTTTTGCAATTCTTCAATCATTGTGTTGGCTCTTCTCTGAAGCACCTCCAATTTGCTAAGAATGAAACTGGCTACTTGATTTGTAGTAGCATTATAAACTTACAGATCTGTTAATTATTCTTGTCAATTTCAGTTATGAAACACTTACCATAACTCCTTATTAGGATTTATTTTGCTCCTGCCTCACTATAATGAGCCTCTCCATGTCCATGTACATAAATCTGGCTCTTTTTTTTTTTATTTTCCATCCTATCAAATGTTATCTCCCAATAATCAATTAATTTTTTTAATAAAAGCTCAAATATTAATAGGAACTTTTTTCATGGTGATCTAAAGTATACTTAAATACTATAAATAATAATTATAATTTACATAATGAGAATAGGTATATACAGTCCTTTAAAATGAGTTGTGTGTGTTAGTCAAACATCAGCTCCTTAAACTGAGAAACTGGAAAAGAAAAGGTATAAAACAATATAAATGTCAGGGATAAGAACCATGAATATGTAGAGGGGTATGCAGTCACTAAAGTGAGAAAACTGCTGAGGAGTAGGTAGATGTTCAGAAGCTTTTTTAAAGGAAAGAAAAGGGGATGTCTGAATGTTGACTGCTTCAAGCAATTGCTCATTGCAGAAATTGAAATACCTAACATAATCATTATAAAAATCTTACTATAAATATTTAAAATATGGCTACAGTGCTATTAAACAGACAATTTAGCGAAGAAGAAAAAAACAGCACACAAGACAATATATTCAAAGGGGTCTTGGCATAGCCTCCATGTGTACGTTGTGCTTACAGAAATGTATTTTTGTTTTTCAGTGCTGTGTGTGCATTTAATTTTATTTCCCTGGTACAATTAGTACATTTGTCAGCTAACCATATCATTAGTTTTGATCTTTAAAACTATATCAAGGGTGAGAACAACATTTTAAACATAGGAAAATGTGATTACTACATCAACACATATTAGCAGGGAGATGTAATGCCAGATACAGTATGAGAAACTGCTTTTATATAATTGTTTTTAACTAATTGGATTTCACACTGACAATATCCATTTAAACAGACCACCAGTTGCCAATATTTTGTTTAAATACCACAGAATTCATGAACATGTCACATGAGGGCTCATATCTACACAGGCATTACCAAACCTTTAAAAACAGCAAATTTAAGTCCTACACAAACTTTTCAGAAAACCTCAACTTGCTTACCCTCTACATTTATAGCAGTGTAGCAAGATAGATAAGCCTAAATGTCTGGTTTCCAAACTGTTTCCAACATTGACACTCCTTTGCTATCTGGATTAACTCATTTTTAATAGAAATTGTTTATGCTACAGATTTACAGGAATCATTTTGAATCTTATATAAATTCAGAACTAACTTGTGCTTCTGTATATGAAACCTTAGTTAAATATGAAACTGTGATAAAATTAACATCTACAACATGGATTTTGTCAAACTAAAAAATGTAGGCAGAAGACAGTATATATTTTTTTCAAAGCAAAGTCAATTAAGCATGCCTTATCTAAGGCTACGTGAGGCATAAGGATCTTGCAGAAAATGGGGATTTTGCACAAAAAACCCCGTCCACACTATTTTTCGTTCCATGAAAACCCTTTGCACAAAAACTTTGTGCATAAATTATGCAAATGAGACAAGGTGATATGCTAATCTGTACCTCATTTGCATACTCAATGCCGGCAAAACCAGCAGTGTAGACGAAGCCTAAGTGAATATATATTACAGTAGTATGTTTTGTTTTTATGTTTCAGTGTGAACTAGACTGACGTTATAATTTGTGCAGTATCTGAAACAGATACTGAGGCATTTGGCACATTTTATATCAAAACCCTCTTTAAAAATTACATTGGATATGAAAATGTAATGTGATACCATCTTAACAAGAGTTCTGCACTTACCAGAATTATGGCAGTAATCCATATACTGTGGACTCTGGATTGTAAAAGCTACCAAATCTGGAGCTAAGAGAGATTCTGGCTTTCTACTTTCATTGAGCCATTTGCTGCTGTGTAGGTCTCTGGTGTCAGAAGGGCCTTGAACTAAAGGAATCAGCTTCTCTTTTCCACCATCACCTAAATAAAAGTTAAACTTTTTACACATATTATTACAAGCTAATTCAACATTAGCTTTCAGTAGCCTGATTAGGACAGTTATTAAATGCACAAGTATAGACAAAATACAAAGGAGCATTAACTAATACTTGTTAATAGTAAAAAAAACTCCCTTATAAACTTATTTTGCAAATTTTTATATGCAGTAGAATTTAAAATAATGTTGCCAGATGAACCAAACAAGTCTCATTAAATAATCTGTAAATTACTGTCTCCTGACTAATAAAATAGTCACTTATCTCAACAATCACTTGGGAATTCCAAAATCACATTTAATTATAATTACTACGTTTAAAAAGCTCTAAACACTGATTACATAAGGTATTTGTATGGATTGAATTACTGTATACACATCTCTTCACTAAAAGCAGTAAAGAGTCATTACACCACAAAACCTTGTAAAAACTCCCGAACTGAAAATTTTACTTGTGTCTTATTTGAAAAGGAGACAAAATTTAAAAAAAAAACCATAACCTTAACTATTTAGAAAGTGGGGCAAAACATAAATGTACTATATTATTTATAAAATCCACTTTTCCTATACATTTTACAATGTTATTAGACTGTTTTTTAATTCAAAATCCAACACTTTTTTTTATTTTATTCATTTATTATCAAAATTGAATGCACTATGCACATGATGTATCAACCTGGCACAATAAAAAAAACATTGAACGAAAAAATCCCTCTCTGATTCATAGGAACAATGAGTAAATTCTTGTTTCAGTAACTCTCCTTGTAAAAAGCAAGGCCAATTCTCCTATACAGGCAATAAAGTTTTACATGGTCCAGCTGCACATACCTGGGGCTTTGGCGCAAATTTTTATTGATCCCACGGTCCCAGAGGCACATTTGACCAATGATGTGCTGCAGTACTTCAATTCAACATTCTGGACTGAGCCCTCAAGAGTTGGCAGGGGATTCTTAGATTTCACACCTAATAAAAGAAAACTGCAAGTGTACTAGCATGTTGAATTTAAATATTTTTATATTTCTTCACCAAGGTATTTAAACTTAATTACACTTTAATTATCTATGTTAGATGTTCTTATACCATATTTGTTGCTATTCATAGCAGGCTTTCTGAAGTGAGAGAATATCGTGTGTGTGTGTCTGTGTGTGTGGTTTATTTTCATACACATATGGCAATTTACCATTTTTAGAATATGTATATACACAAATCCATACACTTTTATTTCATTTTATAACTGAGTTATGACACTTCAACTGCTCTCTATCAACATTTTCATTCTAATTCTTTAATTTGAGGATCTTAAATGACTAAAAATATTCTCAACTGACACTTAGAAAACAGGGTTTCATTCAGTAGCAAAATCAAAACATACGTATATGCAGCTGAGTAGTACAGCAGGTTAGTGCAACTGCCATTTCACTACGGAAATCAGAGTTCAAGCCTTGCCTTAGGTCACAAGTTAAATATGTTTGGTGGTCTCTTCTTAGTCCCCATTTGTGCACACAGAAAGTTACAACTCAGTTTGGAACAAATCAGTGCTGTTGGCAGTCTCTTCTGAAGAGATGCCTAGAACTATAACAGCAGGGGATGTGGCAGTCAAAACTTAGGTACCGTGGCAGAGTTCTTTGTACATAACACCACGCACACAAACTATGGACGGTTAAAGTCAACTCTATTACTCCATTGATATTCACCAACAGAAAAACAACATTTATTAATTTTTTAAAATTAGTTTGATATTTTTAATTTGCAAGAGGTGGAGGAGAAATTGAAGTTAGCATTTTATAAATGATTTTCCCCCTACACAGAACTGACATTGAATTAAAATATGGCAAGCATTTTGTTCATTATGTAAGGATTGGTCTAATTTGGGGGATCATTTCTATGCACAGCTAACACAGTATCCCTGCCAAAATCCGTATTTATATAACAAACCTATTACAATCACTCAGGCAAAAATAAAAGCACTGATACATATTTTCATTATAAAGCAACTGGACAAATACATATATTTTAAGTCCCCTAAATACTTAACCAATTATTATTTTCTCTAAGTGGCTCTCAAAGACATTAAATAATATTATTTTGATTATTTTACTTAACCAGGAATAGAAACACCACTTAATTTACAAAATGGTAATAAGCAGAAAATTCAGAATTACAGTAAACATCCGATAATCCGGCACCTTCAGGACCCAGGGGGTGCCGGATTATCAGATATGCTGGACTATCGGAAGGGGGGGCCTATGAGGGGTCTGGGGTAGGGTGGGGTGGGGGGGATGCCACCCCACAGAGCCCCCCCTTCCGATAGTCTGGCTCTGCCCCAAGCGTCCCTGATTCAGCCGCTGCTGGTCAGTTTCAGCAGCAGCTGAATCGGAGACGCCTGGGGCAAAGCAGCTGGGGGGCCGGCAGGGT